CACCACCTTCCACGCCCTCCAAATCAACCCCCTCCCCCTCCTCACCGCCACCCGCCACCGCCCCCTCCGCCCCTTCTTCCTCACCCCGGACGACCTCACCACCGACCCCGACCTGTCCGCCGCAGCGGCGAGCATCGCGCGGCTCCGCGAAGCCGGCTTCCTGCCCGTGGTGTGCTGCACGGCGTCGCGGCGGGCGGGCGCCGGGGAGGTGGCGGAGGGGGGCGGAGGGGGTTATGTGCAGGGGGCGGGGGACGATACGGAGAATTGGGCGGGGGGCTTGACGCCGGGGGGGTTTTGGCGGTGGAGGGGGCGGTTGTTGGCGGTGGGGGAGGGGGAGGTGAAGGGGGTGATTGAGGAGGTGGTGAAGGAGGAGAGTGAGAGGGAAGGGGGGAAAGGGCGGGTGAAGGAGGTGGTGAAAGGGGCTGGAGGGAGCGGGGTGGTGTTTGTGGGGGGGTTGGGGGCCGATGTTTCTTCTTCTTCTCCTGCGGAGTTTGGGGAGTTGGGGGAGGGACTGTGTGTGGTGAGGGTGGTGCCGAGGTTTATGGAGAGCAAGGAGTGGGTGAGGGGGAAGGGGTGTTTGGAGGTCGGATTGGGGAAGAGCAAGGCGGCGAGTCGGCTGTTGAGGGATGCGCTGCCGCAGGTTTGTGAGTTTGTGTTGGCCTTCTTGAGACGGCCCCCTGCGACGAAGGAGGTTGGCCCGCTGGACAAGAAGGTGGTGGTGCTGTGCGAGTCGGGGAAGGACTTGTCGGTTGGCGTTGCTCTAGCGATCTACTGCTGGTGTTTTGACGATACCGGGAACGTGCGGCAGGGTGATGAGGAGGTGTCGTTTAACAAAGCCGCCATCCGGGTTAGGTTGGGACACATCGTCACGGCGCTCCCCGAGGCTAACCCCAGCAGAGCAACACTGCAGAGTGTAAACAGCTTTTTGATGGACTGGCGAAAATGAAGAAAATAAATAAAATTACCCCAACTCTGCGCTATGTCTATCATGCTAAAACCAAACGTGTAACCAAAAGCTTGCTAAAAGATCCCAAGTAAGCGTCTGTGAGCGCCCATTGCCCGCCAGTAATTATCACCAAAAATCTAAACCTCTCCACGCTCGACCTTGGCCAAGCACTCCTCGAACTCGCTCCAGTCCTCCATAATGATGACGGCACCGGCCTCAGTCAAGACCTTGACCATCTTCTCCCTCTCGGCCTCCTTGTAAGGCCCGACGTAGCCAATGACCTTGAGGCCGGCGCGCGCACCGCTGAGGGTCCCGCTCTTGCTGTCCTCAACAGCCACGCACTCCTCGGCCTTCTTGCCGAGCTTCTCCATGGCGTGCAGGTAGATGGCCGGGTCGGGCTTGCTGGTGGGCTTGGGCAGGCTGGTGGCGGCGGAGTAGATGTCGCCGCCAAAGTACTTGGACTGGCCGACCTTGTCGACGCTGGCCTTGACGCGGCGCAGGGCGGAACTGCTGACGACGGCGAGCTTGTACTTGCCCGAGGCGGCCAGCTTGGCGAGCACGTCGTCGGCGCCGGGGCACGACACGAGCTTCTCCTCGAGCTTGGCGATGACGACGTCCTCCTCGCGGCGCACGTACTCGTTCAGCTCGTCGTCGGTCATGGTGAAGCCGAAGCGCTTCTGCAGCGACACCATCATGCCGCGGAAGTTCTGGCCGACGAACTCGATGATGAGCGACTCGCCCGTGAAGGGCTGGTCGAGGGGGATCTTCTTGGTCGCGGCGATCTCATTGATCAGGTCTGCGCAGCCCTCGAAGGCGAGTTCCTCAGACAGGACAAGCGTGTTGTCGCAGTCGAGGAGGATGGTGTTGATCTGGGGTGGGTGTTAGTTGGGGAAACTAAGGGAAATGGTGAGAAGACAAATAGATGGATGCTGTATTTACCTTAGACATTGTGACGGTTAGAGGGGGGTTGTTCTTGACAATTATTGTAGTGTTTGTTTATTGACAGATAGCGTCGTTGATTGTCGATGTCGTCGAATTTTGGTTCTCGTTCTTGATCTGTCAGTTGAGACTGGGAGTTGTGAGAGACAAAAGTAGTGGGAATGAGTCAATTGAGTCTAAAACTGGTCAAATAAATACCTCGCTGGTTCCTGGCCCCTCCTGGAAATACCCTCCTTCCCGGACTGTGCCTGGGTCAAAAAAACGACGCCGAATGCGAAACCCAACACTTTGCCGTGCCCGTTTCGTCGATAAACCCCTCCACTGCCCAGGCCCGCCTGTCGATCCTGTGTCGTCATTAGTGGGGCGGTCCCTGGGAACCTTGAAACGGGCCCAGCGGCAGCCTATCAGGGGCCCTGAATAGCGCCCAGAATTAGCGATGCCGTTGTGGTGGGGGCACTGGAGGGGAGGCAATGAACTTGCATCTCGAGGACCCCTCTTTCAACACACTGTCCTCCCGTTTTCGTGCCGTGAGAGCCGGGCAATCATGTCGCTTATTTCGCGAATATGCAGCGGCTTTTTCAGTCACAAGTCAGAAATAAACAATAGATGACCCCGAAAAGGGCTGAGAAAAGAAATGGTCTTCCTAGGAGGACCGGCTCAGCCACCAAATCTGACAGTGCAACTCAACTCGTAGCGCTTGAACAAGGCTCAAGGTTTGTTGGATCGAACAAAACAACCTTGGAAGCAACGCCACCCACGCCGCAATCGTTCCAGCCAGGCCAGGTTCCCAGGCACGCCAGGGTCCAAATGAGCTTGGCCTGTGGAACTCAAGATCTTGTTCAGATAACCGAAGGCCGATCCTCCCACCAACACTGACTGCCCGTACAACATACAGGCACTCCTACCCCTTCAAGAAGACTCCGGACTGCTGGGCTCATCGTCCTTCGATTCCATTGCCTTTAGTGTCTCTTCCGACACCCCTCTTGTCAACAAGAGCAGATTTCTGCCACCATTCCACTCCCCATCATCTAGGGCCTGGTGCAGTGACGTCTCCCAGGGACCCTCCTTGCGGTAGATGCTCTCGGGCTTGGCCCACTTCCAGATGGGAGAAAGGCCATGGCCAAGAATTTGGCGTGGGCTCTCGCTGTACAGAGGAAAGGAGAAGAACTGCAGAAAAGATCCTTCGCCAGATACCTCAAGCCCCCCCATCAGGCTCGCTAGTAATTGGGACGTTGGTTCTGACCCCGCCGCCGACTCTGAACCCTTCTGGAGGGCTGCCAAGAGGTCTGAGAGTGTCGCGGCGACGTCGAGGTAGTCTGGAAAGCAAAATGTGCCCAGGGATTTGGAGTCTTTGATGACCGAGAACAGGCGCGGTGGCAGCTCGGCCATGACCTCTACGTGTGAGACGGTTGGCGGGTCCCAGTGGCACAGCGCAACGGGAACAACATCCGCCTCGTCGGCCTGGGGCACCATGGCTAATACCTCGTGCCGATATGCGCAGGTCACTAGGTCGTAGCCGGGGGGGAATTCTCTTGGAAGCGGTTGCTGTGGGCTGTTAGGTACATACTTAGGGCGTCAAGTGCGGGTTTGAGGTCTCATGCTTTCATGACGTACGGTGTAGGAGTTCGCCGTGCTTGGTGGGGCGTTTGCCGTGTCGGGGGTTGAACTTGGTTCTGCCATAGGTCGGTATATTCGGTGTACTTCGCGGATTGATATACACTGGGGTAATTGACTTGGCGTAGCAAAGGCGCGGATGACGAGAAGAGGATTGTGAGATGCGGAATTGGCAAACGGATCAAGAAACCAAAAGCCGGGATTAGTGACGAACGGACGTAACTAGGTACTTAGGCAGCCTGGTTGATGTTGATCAGCCTCGTTGCTAATTAGTAAGTAAGGCAAGGCTCGCAGCCTGCCAGGACCAATCCGTCATGTTGCTCACACCAACCAACCTTGTCCGAGATACCTTAGACCACCTAAATAACGTGATACTTCACATGATCACTTTTATCATAACAGATCACCTTGATTATCATAATTCTTTATTAGATTTGCTCGGCCCAAATCTGGACTCCTTTACGGGGCACAATGCATTCTGGCATATCAGGTAGTAGCCACTTCACAACACTCAACGCCCAATGAGTACACTCTTAGCCCCCTCCCTACCCCTTGAGTATATCCCTTACCACATCCAGCCCAACCCCATCTCACAAAGGCGGCAACTCCTCCCGACAAATCGGACACTGCAACTTGTACCTAAACCACCCCTCCAAACACTTAGTATGAAAGATATGCCGGCACGGCGTGACCATGTACGCACGCCTCGCCAACACACCCACCAACCCCCCCGCAGCGGCCGGATCCTTCGCATTGGCCCTCACCACCGGCACCTCCAGCACCTCGGTACAAATCGCACAATCAATCTCCCTCACCACCATCCCATGCCGCTGCAGCTCCTTCTCCCGCTCCGTCCGTCTTCTACTATCCTCCCCACCCCCACCCTGCGCAGACCCCCTCGACCAACTCCTCGAGCGCCGCCTCGCAGCAACCGGCGATTCCTCCTCTGCCTCCTCCTCAGGCGACGCCAACACCCCCTCCAGCGACGACACCAACCCAATCGGCAGCCCGCCCGCCTCCACATCTCCCTCCCTCAAAACCGGATGATACTCCCACACGGCCGGCATCCACCCCACAGGCAGTCCAAACCTCGGCCCCAACACATCCTGCACGGCCAACATTAACAACTGACACCACACCCAGGCGACCAACCCCAAGAACGCATTCGGATCCGTGTCCACGAACAGCACATTATCGGGCCTCAGATAGAAATACGCAAACGGCACCAGCCGCAGCACCGACTGGCCGGCCATGAAGCGCCAGGCGAAGGCGCGGCGGCTGTTGCGCCAGATGTTGCGGCGAATCTGCGGGGTCCAGAGGGAGAGATAGGCGAAGGCGAGCACGTGGAAGAAGATGGAGCGCGCGTGCGGCGGCCAGGAGAGAGACATGGCCGTGAGGAGGAGGATGCCGATGCCGAGGAGGACGAAGGTGCCCGTGATGGAGGCAAAGGCGCCGACGCGGGGGCCGCCGGGGTGGGG